GGTGCCAGAGATGGTGAGGATAATGTGAAGAGTCACTTCCTGGGACACCAGGACACCTTTACTGCCACTCATCATCTTATCCTCTCCCCCACCTGGAAGGTGGCCAGGAAAGATTCTCAGGTGACAGAGGCGACCGAGGCCCAGAGAGGTGAGCGGTTAGCACATGGTTGCCCAGAGAGTTTGTCTCTGCCCAAACTCCAGGCTTCTCTGCTACCAACATTCTTGGGGAGCCTGACCCTCCAAGCTGTAGAGAAGGAACCCATTCTTGGGACTGCTGGCCTTGGTGCCTTCTGCTGTCCTAGATACTGAATCCCCTTTAAAATGCCCGGGCTGGAGAGAACGCCAGCCCTGGCAGGGCTACTGCAGGAGGAAAGGCACAGGGCACAGGCAATTGCAGGAAAGGTCGGAAACCAGTTGGCTAGTGCTGCAGGGCAAGGAGGCAATGTGGTGGCACAACCCAGAGGTCCTGGAGTGCCAGGGCGCTGTCTCTTCCTGTGGGCTCTGGGGAGCCTCACAAAAACTTGAGGCACAAGATAGGATGGGATTCATTGTGCTTTATCAGGGTCAGCCTGGCCTGATTGTGGTGGCTGGCTGGCTGGAGGCTGACAGCAGGGAGACCAGAGAGAAGGTGGCTGGACAATGCTGAGGCCTGAACTAGGCAGGTGCACAGGTCGCAATGCAACCAAGAGACTATAAGAGGTGGACTTGAACTTGGGAGGGTTTGGGGACCAGACAGAAACTGGGCACGGGGGAGCAGGGGTCATTGAGAACAACTGCCAGGTTGGTTTGTGACCTGCCTTGGGCTCTTTGAGCAGATAGAAGTGCCCTGAAAACTGAGGAGCCCTGATAGCCAACATCATTATCAGAGGAACTGCGGAGGAGCAGGGAAGCCTCTTTACACAGCCCCTCCGGGCTCAGAGACCTCAGGATCCCCTCCCAAGTCACAAAGGAAGAGAGGGAGGAGGGACTGGCTTCAAATCCCAGACCCACCCACTGATAACACTCCTCCGGAGACTCTACTTTTCTATCTGTGAAACGGGGCAGCACACTGGCATCCTGAAGCCCCCGCCCATCCTGTGGCTGGGAGAGGGAGGTTCCCTGTGTGTCCAGGGTCTTTGTGGGGGTGGTGCCCTTTCCCCTACGGAGGCCTTCAGTGAAGGGAGCGGTGTGAGTGTGTGACACAGGTCACCCCGCCCCACTCGCAGCCTCAGAGCTCCATCTGCACAACGAGATCCATCCAGTCAGGTGTCTCAGAGGCCCTGCCCCACCGCTCCAGCCCTCTATCCGCTCAGGGCCCCTCCCAGGGAGCAGCACCCCCAACTCCAAATCTGCAGGCGAGGGTGGGACCTTCAAAGGGCAAAAGCTCTGCTAAAGACACGCCCCCCCTGGGGGTGGGCAGGAGCCCCCTTGGTGGACAACTCACTCCTCAGGAAACACCACGTCCTCCTCTTTAATCTTCCTGTGCAGGGCCAGGATGTAATCATCGATGAATGGGCACTGAGGGAGAAGAAGCAGATGCAGGGTGTAGGCCCAGGGCCTTCACTGGTGCTGGAGACCAGCCCTGTCTCTCAGGAGTGGGGGACAGCTCTGGGACACCATTAGCAGGGAGAAACCTCGTCTAATTTGTTCAGGGCCTGGCACACAGTAGGTGCTCAACAAACAATGACCGAACAAAGAAGTCATTGAGGAAACCAGGAGGCTGGGTGTACCCATTAGCTTTACAGCCACTTGTGGAGAGGCCTCCATTCCTAGGGCCTGGGATTTGGGAACATGCTTACTGAGGTTCCTTCCTGACCCTCAATGCAGTCACTAGATTGGGAGCACCTGGGGACAGGGATCTTAGCCAAGTCAGTGTTGGGTGTCCCCAAGGCCCAGCCTGACCCAGTGCAGGAGTCAAAAACAATCTGTTAAATGAATGAATGACTGTGTGCGAATAAATGAACAGCAGGGAGCACTCTAGCTGGAGAGGTGGCAACTCCATCATCTAGACCTACCCTCAGGATGTCTGCTGTCCCAGAACTCCTTCACGTGAACCCCCTCCCAAGGTAATAAGAGAAAGACAGAAAAAGCCTCTTTTCCCTCAGTCTTCTCTGAGCCAAGTGGCCTCTTTCAAATGTTACTTTACTTTAGGACACAAAGGAAGGGCCTGCTCCTGTCATCCATCCTGGTTCAGCTGGGCCCACCATGGTGCCAGCCCACCAATACTCACCTTCCCATAGACAAAGCAGTACAGGGTGATCCCGGTGGCCCACACATCCAAGGCCTAGAACGAAAACAGCGCATATCAGTCCCCCAGAATGAACCAACACCCCTTGCTGAGCCAGTTCCAGGGGGCTGTGGGAGAGAGTATGCAGGGAACCTCCTTCCTCAGTCACGTATTCACTCAACAAATACTCCCAGGCCTTTACTCCATGCCCAACTCTGTGCTGAGCACTGGGACACAGGGATGACCAGAACAGGGCCCCTGCCCTTCAGGAATTCCAAGTTTCTTTGGAACAGGCCCAAAACTATATAAATATATATATATATGCATATGTATATATGTATATACACATATGTATATATATATGTGTGTATATATATGTGTGTGTATATATATGTATTTGTTAAATTTATCTTTATTGTTGAAAGTATTACAAATGTCCCCCTTTTCCCCCCATTGATTCCCTTAGATATATTTTCAGCTCAACAGGTGCAAAACTTCCTTCATCTATGGGTCACATTTGCTGTACCCATCACACGGATGCACCGCAGAAACGATGGCCTGTATCGCACTTACACTCGCTAAACCAGCTCATCATTCCTCGTCCAAATGACCCACTGGAGAAGCCACCATATGCCTTCTTTCTGACCCAGAAACAGCACCTGTCCACGCCAAGGTCCTTGGCCACCTCCACAACTGCTCCCAGCTCCCCCACGCTCCGGTTCTAACATGCGCTCTCTCTATTTTCCCTTCTGGAACCCCACCTCCTCTCCTGGTATCTGCTGTCTCTCTTATGCAAGTGATTCTCAAATCTCTACCTACATATTCTTGCCACAGATGCCTCATCTGAATCCAGTCCAGGAACAGCAGACAAACACAAGCTACATCATTCTACAAAGTAACAGGCCCGTTGTCTTCAAAATGTCAAGGTCGGGAGAGAGAAGCCAAGGAGCTCTTCTAGATTAAAGGACATCAGGGATGTGACAAGTGAATTAAGCAATGGACTCTGGATCGGGTCCTGGGCCAGGAAAAGATAAGGCTTTGAGGACAGTATTAGGACAACCAGTGAGCAAATCATATCAATGATAAGTTTTCTAATTTTGATCATTGTACTGAGGTTATGTAAGAGAATGTCCTTGTTCTTAAAAAATATTCACTGAAGTATTTCATGATAAGAGAGAAGGATGGCTCCGACTTAACTCTCAAATGGTCCAGAGGAATGTCCTATCCTTATACATAAATATAGAGAGAGGTAGTGAAAAGGTAAATAGGGCCTGGCCAGTGTGGCTCCGCGGTTGAGCATCGACCTAGGATCCAGGAGATCGAGGTTCGAGTCCCAGTCAGGGCACATGCCCAGGTTGTGGGCTCAATCCCCAGTGGGGGCGTGCAGAAGGCAGCTGATCAATGATGCTCTCATCATTGATGTTTCTATCTCTCTCTCTCCCTCTCCTTTCCTCTCTCTGAAATCAATAAAAAAGATATATTAAAAAAAAAGGTAAATAGGGTAAAAAGGCAATCGGGGTTCGATTCCCGGTCAGGGCACATGCCCGGGTTGCGGGCTAGGCAGCCGATCAATGACTCTCTCATCATTGATGTTTCTATCTCTCTCTCTCCCTCTCCTTTCCTCTCTCTGAAATCAATAAAGATATGTTAAAAATAAATAAATAAATAAATAAATAAATAATAAAAACAAAATAAAAAGGTAAATAGGACAAAATGTCAATAATTGGTGAATCCGGGCAAAAAGATATATGTGAGGTTCTTTGGTATTATTTTTGCAATTTTTCAGTAAATTTGGAATTATATCAAAATTGAAAATTAAGACAAAATCTCTACCTACACCCTTGACCTCTCTCTTGAGCTCCACACCCTCACCCCACGCAGGCATCCAAATGCCTCCCAGCCACCGCCTCCTCGGAAGTGCAGTGGGGCAGCCAGCATCCCACAGCTGAGAATAGGCTTGTGTCGGGGACACACTCGACTGTGGCCCCCTGCTCAGAAAGCTCTGCCCACTGCCTCTCACCTAGGAAAAGGCCCAAACTTCCAGGCCCTAGTGCTGCCCAAGCCCCGCCGCGCCCCAAGCCTGTGCCCCTAGGTTCTCTTGCATGCTCTCTTCGCTTCACCTCCACCTCATTCTCTAAAGCCTAGTTCAAACCCTGCCATGTCCAAGGAGTCTGAGGGGAGCCTCCGACTCCCACACGTGAGCGTTCCTGCCTTTTCACCATCTCCAGAAGGGCAGAGAGCTGGGCTGTCTGGGCTCTGTCCATTCCACAGCCCAGTCCAGGACTCAGCACAGAGCAGCTGGCAGGAGAGATTTGGGGACATTTTGCTAGAACATGAGAGGAGGCCAAAGTTGGGGAGTTTGTCGGACTCCAGGAAGAGGTAAGCGTGAAGGAGAGGGGACTGTGTTTGGTGTTCACCCCTGAGACACAGGGAACCCTGGCATCCTCAGGTTGGAAAGGAGGCCTCGCTGCAAGCTANTAAATAGGACAAAATGTCAATAATTGGTGAATCCGGGCAAAAAGATATATGTGAGGTTCTTTGGTATTATTTTTGCAATTTTTCAGTAAATTTGGAATTATATCAAAATTGAAAATTAAGACAAAATCTCTACCTACACCCTTGACCTCTCTCTTGAGCTCCACACCCTCACCCCACGCAGGCATCCAAATGCCTCCCAGCCACCGCCTCCTCGGAAGTGCAGTGGGGCAGCCAGCATCCCACAGCTGAGAATAGGCTTGTGTCGGGGACACACTCGACTGTGGCCCCCTGCTCAGAAAGCTCTGCCCACTGCCTCTCACCTAGGAAAAGGCCCAAACTTCCAGGCCCTAGTGCTGCCCAAGCCCCGCCGCGCCCCAAGCCTGTGCCCCTAGGTTCTCTTGCATGCTCTCTTCGCTTCACCTCCACCTCATTCTCTAAAGCCTAGTTCAAACCCTGCCATGTCCAAGGAGTCTGAGGGGAGCCTCCGACTCCCACACGTGAGCGTTCCTGCCTTTTCACCATCTCCAGAAGGGCAGAGAGCTGGGCTGTCTGGGCTCTGTCCATTCCACAGCCCAGTCCAGGACTCAGCACAGAGCAGCTGGCAGGAGAGATTTGGGGACATTTTGCTAGAACATGAGAGGAGGCCAAAGTTGGGGAGTTTGTCGGACTCCAGGAAGAGGTAAGCGTGAAGGAGAGGGGACTGTGTTTGGTGTTCACCCCTGAGACACAGGGAACCCTGGCATCCTCAGGTTGGAAAGGAGGCCTCGCTGCAAGCTATTCCACCCCTTCACCTGAACCCCAGCCCAGCCCAGGCCCTGGGAGTCACCTTCCCACTGAAGCTCTGGCCGGAATCAGAAATGGCCTCAGGGGCCATGAACGCTGGGGTGCCGGCCGTGCTGGACAGCTGAGCGTCGTTCCCCTCAAACTGGTTGCTGACACCGAAGTCGGCAATCTTCACATGCCCATCATCCCCCAGGAGCAGGTTGGATGGCTTGATGTCCCTGTGGACGATCTTCTGGCAGTGCACTGCAGGGAGAGGCAGCTAGAGTGCAGGCCTGGGGACCGCAGCCCAGACCCCCCACCTAGCCAGGGGAGCCTGCCTCAGACCAGGTGAGGAGGAGCCCACACACACACGCTCCTCTCTTGAGGACCTTGGAAGGGGACTCCAGGGCCTTCTGCTCCACTCTGCAGGGAAGGCTTGAGGCCAGCCCAGGCGGCCAGCAGCAGAGCCAGGACTGGACTATCTCCATGGCAATCAAGGCACCTGATACTGAGGGGGCAGGTCAGAGGACACTGGGGGAGGGGAGTTCATAGGCATCTCTGGCTCTCCCACGTGAGTACTGTCTGCAGGCCCAAAGCCTATCAATGTCTTTCCCTAGTCCCATCTCCCACACAGCCTGGGCAGAGATGCTCCTGCTCCTTGGACTTAGGGTGGGATTGTGGGGTATCCTGCAGAGGTACTGCCTCAGCCCTATTGACTCTGGACTGAAGGAGATTCAGAGAGGGAGGGCATCCCAGACCTTGGGACTGCTGGGATGCACATGGCTGGGTAAGGGTCGGCCTTCTCTAGCAGGCTGGGAACTCACCCAGCTTCCTGGGCTCAGCACTGCTGGGAAGAGAGGGGCAGCTCAGGCTGAGAGAAGGCACTGACCCCACCCCACTGCCATCCACTATAGGCTCCCCCCTCAGCAAATACTTTCCCCTGCACCTACAGACCCAGGACATTGGAGATGAGGAAGGGTGGAAAGGGAAACAGGAGAGGGGAGAGGAGGAGGAGAGGAAGGCTGGGGGCCAAGGGAATGAGTGTTATATAACAGCAACAAAACCAGTCGTCCTACAGTGACTACATGTGTACCAAACGCACACAGGGGGTTTGAAACACACCTATGAGAGCACAGGGTCTCATGGGGCTGTATATTCAACCATGGAAAGCAGTCTCAAATTCTTTTCTCAAACCCTGGCCTCCTCCCTGAACTCTAGGCTCTTTATCCACATGGATATACAGTAGACGTCTCAATACATATCTCAGTATTTCTCAAGCACACTTCTAATTCAGAACTCGATTTCTCTGTTGGTAATCCCTACCACCAAACAAACAAAAGAGAAAATCCATCCCTGTTCCTCTTCTAGTCTTTTCCTTTCAGTTAATAGCACAGTACCCATTGCTCAGGTCTGTCTCTCAGACTCCATATCCAATTCACCAGCAAGTCCTGTGGACCCAACCTCTAAGATATATTCCGACCCCACTACTTCTCACACCTGCATCACTGTACTTGCCCCATCTGTAAGAATCAGGCCTGGACTCTCCGGCCAGAGCCTTCCTGGGCTGCCTCCATTCTCCCTTCAAGGGACCAGAATCACCAGGCAGGTCGTTGGCATCCCCTGCCTCCATTCACCTGTCTGGGCAGCCCCTTGTGCTCACCAATCCACCCAGGAAGCTCTCACCTTGATTAGCTGGGTACTGACGAGGCTTTACTCAAAAGTCAGATGGGGTTCGTTAGGGTTTTTGTTTTGTTTTTGTTTTTTGGTGGTGGGGATAGAGGATGAGAGATGAAAGCTCAACTGAGAAGAAAGTCCCAGGATAGGAAGTTGGGTGGAGGCCAAGCTGGTACAGGGTGGTGCTCACCACTGACCATACCCAGGGTGCAATGCCCCCTTCCTATACCTCAAGGCCCTTGCTAGGGACTTTCTGCAAAGCCTTCGTCTCTCTCTCTGTGCCTCAGTTTCCCCATATGTACAAAGAGAATATCAATCTGAGGGCACTGGAGTGGCTCAAATGTCATAAAGACAGTCTTGGTTCCTGTCGCCTCATCCTGCTCCTCCATGGTAGGGATATGCTCCTGACAAACCAAGCTAAGATTTTAGAGAGATGGGCCCCACTTCTGCTTCTCAAACCAGGCCAGAAGGCTAGGTATCTCGGGGCCCTATCCATGACAAGTGCTGGCTGCCCCACCTCCTTCGTGTCTCCTCCCCACTGCCACTGTCCTAATCCAGGACTCACCATCTGTCACTTGGCTGTGGAAACAGCCTCCTCCCTAACCAGCTGGCCGCCTCTCACCCTTTATCCAGCCACCACACAGCTGCTACTCAGAGCTTTCTAAGACGTAAATCCTATCACACCTCTCCACTACTCAGAGCCCTCGGAGTTCACAATGCGATAGAATGAAGTCACGAAATGTCCTCTGTGGAGGCATTCCCAGCCCTCATGCCTCAACCAGACTGAACTTCTCCCCATTCTCAAATAGTCCATGCCCACTCCCCTCGTGCCTCTGCCCGCGCAGTTCTCTCTGCCTGCTGTACTTTCTCCCACTTATCCCTCAAGCCTGGCCAATGAACTCCTACTCATCCTTCAGGACCCTGGTCACAAGTGCCATCCTCCCGGAAGCCTCCCTTGGCCCTCAGTGCCCTGACAGGCCCTGTGCCTCCCCAGCTTTGGCAGACACCACATTGTATCATCTGCCTGCTTAGATTCCTGTCCCTTCTACTAGGCTGTGAGATCCTTGAGGTCACATCTGGGTCCTTGTCATCTACCTGCCCCCAGCTATTCATAAAATGAAAGAATAAATGAGCAAATGAGTGAATAAAGGAATTCCGGAGATAGAAGCAAAGCTCACATCCTCCCTCCTGAGCTCTCATCACTTAGGGGCCCTCCCAGGAAACCCACACTTGCCACCACCCGCAGGCTGCATGACAGGACAGACTCTGGAGCCGCTGGTCATAAGTCTGGCACCACCCCCTTCGCCTTTCCTTTCCCCAGGTTTAGGTCCCGCCCCCAAACCTATGACCCGCCCCCACCTGAAGCTGATTGGCAGATGAGCGCTGACTGACAGCAACTGCTCAGAGCCCTCTCAGCCTGGGCTCCGCCCCCTCGGGTGCACCCCCTCTCCCCTGTCCCTCACCCCCAGTCCCAGGCAGCAGGCAGGCAGCCCCCACTCACGGTACTCAAGGCCCAGGATGACGTCCCTCAGGTAGATGCGAGCTTGTTCCTCTGGGAAGGGCTTGTCGCAGGGCACCTCCATGACCGGCCTGTAGAGGAAGGGCAGAGGGGTGTTCCAGGTGAAGAGGAAAAGGGGCTGGGACCTTCAGGTCACTTGGGACCTCCCGGGAGCCCTCTATGCTCAAACAGATTCCCAGAACCCAAGGTATTAGCTTTTTCCTCCCATATGTGATAAAATTTTAAAAATACACAAACACAAATATATCCCTTTATAATTTCAAATTAGCTTTATCTTAATTTCTGATTGGCTTGATATTCCTTCTTCTAAGGACTTAATTATCTACCCTCAAACAGATGCAAAGATGCCATATAGAGAAATGTTTTTCAAACTGCACGTCTAGATCCAATATAGGGTCATGAAATCAATTTAATAGGTGACTACCCCAAGCTGAACCCTAATGCTGCTTTTTTTTTTTTTCTAATGAAGTAGAATATATCAGAGTATATCATATGTAATAAGGATATATACTGTTCAGTAAAACTTTGGTTTCAGCTACAGATATAAATGACAATGTGAAACTTATATTTCTCACTTTGAATGGAGGTCAAAAACATTTGAAAGGCCCTGGGTGAGTAGCTCAGTTGGTTAGAGCATCATCCTGATAAGCCAAGGTTGAGGGTTTGATCCCCGGTCAGGGCACATACAAGAATCAATCAATGGATGCATAAATAAGTGGAACAACAAATCAATGTCTCTCTCAAATCAATAAATTAAAAAAAACAAAACATTTGAAATCCCCTGAGTCATAAAGGGACACCTTTGCTTGCCTCCTCCCCAAATAGGTCTTTAGGAAGTCCGCCAGCAGAGAGATAAGCTATAGCCTGTATTCAAGGTCTCAGAAATTAGAGCCCCCAGTCCACCCAGGCCCAGGCCCACTATGCCATGTCTGCTGCTTTGCAAATATCCCGAGAAGGCCAAATAAGGCAGACATGAGTTAGAACCCTGGGTTTCATCAGTGACTTGCTGTGTGATGTTGGGCAAGTCACTTACCTGCTCTGAACCTCAGCTTCCCCTCTTGTAAATGGGAGTGAAAGGAGTCCCACCTGTTCACTCACAAACCTGTAAAGCTGAAAGAACTCTTTGTAATTTGAATACAGGTAAGAGTTGAGTCCCTTCTCTATACTTTTTCTTGAGAAACACTCTTTTCTTCTCCCTCTTCCATCAAAATCTTCTTTCCAGTTCTTCAAGGCCTCCCTGACTATTCCAGCCTCACTGACCTCCTTCAAAGAACTGTCCTCTTGGTCTCTCATTTCCCCCGAGACCAGAGCTTCCCAAGGGCAGGGCCTGGGCCTCTGCTTTCTCCTAGAGTAGCAGATCCTAGGACTAGGGACACAGGGAGGGAAAAGAAGGCCTGGATGAGACTTGACCTGCCTGATCGGAACGGGGAACTCACCCCTTTCTCAGGAGGTCAAACACTGAAAGAAAAGAAAAGAAAAGAAGGTAAGGTGCAGCCAGGCTGGTAGAGCAGGGGATGCCAAGGTCCCTCCCTGTTTTGGAGGGTGGTAGAGGGTGCAGGCAACCAGGGATACTTGAGGCAGGGACAGGACAGGGGTCCCACAGTATCAGAGGAGGTAAATGGGTAAGAATAGGTTCTACTGTGGACCTGCCTCTTCTGATTCAGCATGGACTCTTTTTACTGGGCAAGGGTAGGGTAACTGAGGCTCAGAAGGGTCAGACATTTTCCTAAAGGTCATAGCAGATAGGCAGGTAGGAGAGGGAGTGGAGACTAAAGCCTTGGCCTCTAATTCGTGAGCCAATGTTCGTTCCTTCTGCCTCTTTTCCTGAGGGCATCTAAAGCCCAGCCATGAATTAGGCACCATGAACTTAATTTAACAACATTAGCATTAACAGCTAATACGTCTTGCATGTAGTAACTCATTCACTCCTCACATCAACCCTATGGGGTACATACCATTATTACCCCCATTTTACAGGTGAGGAAACTGAGGCACCGAGCTATTAGACAGGGTCTGGGAACCCACATCATGTAGCCTGCTTCCTGTATCTCCATTGTCCCTCTGATCAGCAGAGTGGGGACTTGGAAATATCTGTTGACTCTCACTGGATATTCTGAGCCTGGTTCAGCAGGACTGGGCAATGCAATCCAGAGCTGGGGAACATGTATTTCCTCCCTGCCCCCTGAAGGCCATGTGAATCCCCAAGGAGCCCTTGGTCAGACCCCCAGTAAGAGCTGGGTCACTCACCTAAATAGAGATTGTCCTCAGCTGGGTCGTCCAGGACCTGGTCAGAGGGAGCAGACATGGGGATAGGAGGCATGGGGTAAGAGTTCCAGGTCTCCTTGTCCCCACCAGCCCCAGGACCCCCAGGATACTTTGCAGCTACCCCGGACAATGCAGCAGGGACTGCACAGGCACTGACCGATGAGGCCTCAGAAATCACTGACACCCACCCTCAGTGAAACCTCAAGAACATCCCAGACCAGCCTGAATGGACCCCTGAAGCCTCCCTGCGGTCCCTGCCCCAAGTCCAGCTGTGTCTCTGGAGGCCTCACCACATCTGCTCTCTCAGAGGGTCTGCGCTCTACAGGACTCGGGCACAGGTACCCACCCACTCACCACCACCTCCTACCTCGATCAGCTTGACCACATTCACATGGTCCAACTTCTTCAGAATGGCGATCTCCTGGTACACTCGTTCCAGGGGCAGCAGCTGCTTGGCTGGTCCTCCCTGGGCAGCCTGGGACCCTCTTGGGGGAGGGCGACCTGTGGCCAGGAAGGGGAGGCAAGCCCTTGTTGCAGAAGTCTGGGCCTCACCATTGCCCTGCAACCAGCCTCAAGCAAAAATCTTGCAAGACCATGATCTTGTCCCCAACCCACCAAGCGCGTGCCCACCACCAGGCCTTTGCTCACGCTGTTCTCTCTCCATTCCCAGTCCTAACAAAACCTAGCTAGGGACTGAGGTCTCCTCCTCCTCTGCCCCCTGGCTAGGGGCCCCCAAGCACAGGACCCACTAGATACATACGTGGAAAGCCATACTGCTTCAGTAACTTCTTTTTGGAAAGAACTTTCATTGCCTGAGAAGGGAGGGGCAGAAATGTCACTTGTGTGCAACGACCAGGGGGTAGGACAGGCTGGTTACCTGTGGACTGAGTCCAGAAAGGTACAATGGACACCTGCCACCAGCACTAAGGGTATGGCTGGGTGTGGTTAAGCTGGATGAGAAGGTAGCCACATCTGAGTGTTGGTCTCCCCCTTATTCTCCAAAAAGCCTTTAAAAAGCTCACCTCCTTTGCATACCCCTAGGGACAGGGAGTTTACTCCTTTCAGAGGCACTGTTGTCCCCTATCTTCCCAACACAGCTCCTGCCCACCTCCCAGGTTTCTAGGGCCCGGCTCAGGCAACACCTCCCTCCTGTTCCCAGACTCACATAGTGCCTGTCTTCACTTTCGTTATAGGCCAGCCTCACCACGCCGTAGGCACCCTGCGAATAGGCACAGTTCAGCTCCGCCCGGACAGAACAACCTCCCCCGGGGCTAGTTCAGGCAAAAGGGAGCCTGAACAGCTCTGGCCCTCTCCTCCCTCATCCCATCTCCACCCCCACCACTACATTTCAGGCAGATGGAGAGGGGGCTCCTGTGCCTTGGTAACTGCCCCTGCCTGCCTGGCTCAATGCAGCTCCATGCCTCCCCCAGTTCCTCCTTGTCTTCCATCAAAAACTCTGGAGAGCCCTGGCCTGTGTGGCTCAGCTGGTTGAGCACCGTCCCATGCACCCAGAGGTCGCCTGTCAGATTCCCGGTCAGGGTACATGCCTGGGTTGTGGGCTTGATCCCCAGTAGGGGGCGTGCAGGAGACAGCCGATCGATGTTTCTCTCTCATCGATGTTTTTCTCTCTCTCCCTCTCCCTTCCTCTCTCTCTAAAATCAATAAAAACATATTAAAAACACACACACAGAAAGCCAACTCTGGGGAGTCAGGAATCAGGACTTATTTCCCATACACCCCGCCCACATCAGTTATTTCCTGCAAAAGACGAAATTTTCCTCATTCCCAGGCCTGGGCCTTCCTGCCTCTGCCTCACATTCCCGGGGCAGAAGGGATTGTACCAAGCAGAAGATCTGGCTGACAGGCTGCCTTCGTAAAGTTCCCACTGCTCCTGGCCTGCCCCAGTCCTACCTTGCCAATCTCACTCTGCAGCTTGTATTGGTTCAACTGCACACAGTCCTGGGGGGAAAAGAGGAAGCATCAGGTAAAGCTTGATCCAGAGGCAGCGTTGATCCCTGCTCAGGGATCAAACCTGGCCTCAGGCCCCTCACTCCCAGACCCCAGGTTTCATCAACCTTTCAAGTTGGGATGGGGAAACCTGGGGGTGCCAACACCATGACAAAAAGCCTCATGAATGGAGGGCCATGGCTAAGGAAAAATGCACTGACTCCTGCCTCGATGCTGGGGTCTAGGAGACCCAAATCTGTAAGAAACCCATGAGCAAGTATTCCCAGAAGCAGTTGAATGTGAGGTCTAGATTGTATGGACAAGAAGGATGGGAAGAGGGACAAGAGACCAGAGCCCTGGCCCAGGCATAGAAAGCTCAGCCTCTGAAGGTTGTAGATTACTCGGTGCTCAGGTTCACTTTCGGATCTAAGTGGCAAGGACAGAGCCAGTGGGAGCCAAGGTTGAAAGCCTGCTGGCAGCTTCTGAGTCAGAGCAGATTTGAGGAGGCAGGATTAGAGGTAGGGGTTCAAGCTGGGGAAGTCTTGGGGTAGGAGGACACTGTCTTCAAATCTCTGAGGACTTCTTGGGGGGCAAGGGAGGTGATTATTTCCAAAACCTGGACTGGGTGGGGGTAGGAATGGTGGGACTTATTGGACACAGAGGTTGGCTCAGTTGGAGTTTCCCTGGGTGGGAAGAGGACTTATTGTGAGGTAGTGAGCTCCTCGACTCTAGGGGTATGCAAGCCAAAAGCTAGACAGCTGTGTGGCAGGGATAGGAATGGAAAGGGTCTTCACTGGGGACTACTAAAAAGCCCATGAGTACCCCCTAGCTCTGCCCCACCAACCTCTGCGTCTGAGATGGCCACGTGGTGGGACTCAATGGTGGGCCTCCGCCAGGCCCGTGGGGAGATGTGGTTGGCAGGCCCTGTGGTATAAGGCCCAGCCTGGGCCTCCAGGCAGCTTCTTGCTGGCCGCTCCTGCAGAGACAACTTCCTAGTTGAGAGGCTGGGCCTGGGTAGAGGGAGTCCTGAAGTACTGGGGATCATGGAGGCAGCTCTGGCCCGTGGTGGGGGTTCCACACCATTCCTGGCAGACCGTGGGCAACCATCTGTCTCCTCCAAGTGGGCCACATCGATGGCTGCCACTCGTTCCACCAACTCTGCCCGAGGGTCTTGGCAGCAAACTGCTGGCCCCCCCTCCATTGCCACGATCAAGGGGTCCTCTGTGCAGCCTTATTGGGAACCTGAGAAATGAGGGCAGAAAACGCTTCAATTCTGGCCATAGAGCAAGGAGGTCAGATTTCTAGGCCCTTCTCCCATTGTAGCCACAACCCTATGGGTCCCACCTCCATGCTTTTGCCCCGCCTATTCCCTCTGCTTGGGTTGGTAGTATGCAAACTTGGGCCTGTCCCTACAAACTGAAGGATTTCCAGGAACTCATCTGGCTCTGCTGTACACCAGCCCTCTAGACCTCAGTATTTCCATCTGTAAAACAGGCACATTCACATCCGCTTTGCTGGCTTCACAGGGAAGCAGGGAGAGTCTGATGCTCTGGAGTCAGACAGACATACGGGCAGTACACTGGAGGCCTAGCAGCCTTGGGAGAAACAGAGTCGAGGGTCAGCTCAGGCCGACATCCAGCAGACAGCCCAGTGACTCACCAGCCCCACCCCTCAACAGTAGAGCATTCCAGCGCTGTTGCCTAGAAGCTGAGCTGGGTGCTGGTAATGCAGAGGCCTCCCTGATGCTACAGACCCACTCACCTCCTTCAGGGAGGCCTCTCTGATATTCTAGCCCCCTACCTCCACCCCTCTCACTGTTTCCAGGAAGACTTCCTTGGGGGTCCAACCTCTCTCGTTTCCTCCAGGGAGGTCTCTCCAGGTCCACAGGACAAGTCTCCCATTACTCCCTTCTCTGCCCCAGCAGAGCCTGCAGCCCAGGACAGGGTCCATTAGGGGAGGGGGCTGATGCTTTGGTGGCTGTCAAGAGAAACTTCACAGTACTAAAATGTCATTCCTTATTTTTACTGATTGTTCCTTCCAGTTTGTGTGGCTGAAATGTTTGCCATATTTGTTCAGGCTGAGATGTTCCCCTTGGCTTGGCCTTGCACCCACCCTGACCCTACTGCAGTCTGAGCCCCCAAAAGGCCAGAGGCCAAGAACTTGAACCCTGAACCAACCACCAACCTCCAGCCCTAGCCCTCACCCTTGACCACAGTCCTGGGCTGAAGCCAGACCCCAAGCTGAACATTGACACTCAAGCTGGGACTCCATTTCCTCCTCAGGCCAAGGGTTGGCCCCACCCCAACTCCATGCCCCACCCCCTTCCTGGGCCAAACTAGGCATCTTCTCAAGAATAGGAAGTGAGTGGGCCCCTGACCCTCTGTCCTTCCGGTCTGGTGGTAACTTCCTCTGTCCCCGTACAGTGACTTGGAGAACAGGGGTCTCTGTTTCACCCTCTCATTCCCCCATCACCTTACTTTGACAGATGTCAAGGAGGCAGGGCTCACTGGAGTCCACTGCCACAGAGGAGCCTGGGCTGGGGTCCAGTCCCTCCTGCCAAGCTACTGTGGGGCCATGGGCAGGCTCCTTCCTGACTCTGAGCCTCAGTCTCCCCATCTGTACTATGGATGCAAGACCTTCCCTTCCCAGATTCCCTAGGGCTACATACAGTAAGGCTTGGAGATGGATCGTGAGTAAGGGTGCATTCAAGATCCCCGTGCCTGGCACACAGTGTTGCATGAGTGGAAGCCTGAAAGTGGTGGAGCTGATGCTGACATGCAGAAAGAAAGGGGGAAGGGAATCCAGATTGGTAACAGGAAAAGACATGGAGGCTCCACCTAGACGGAGTGTGTGTGTGTGTGTGTGTGTGTTGCAGGGGAAGGGGGGTGTTAGTGAGGCTAAGGCATCAAAGGAGGCCTCTCTGGAGATGAGAAAGGAGTGAGTAGGGCTGGAGCATCAGAGAGGCCTCCCTGGAGGAGGTGAAAGGGGGCAGTGAATGGGGTTAAATTATCAGGCCCCTTGTAGGAAGGAAGAAGCCAAAGCTAAAGGGAGCCCTCCAAGCCTGGGCCACCCAACCCACTCCTCCCTGTAGGTGGCCCACTCTGCTGCTTCCTGTCCTCACTCTGCAGGCCCTTTTTCTGCCACCCGAATATAAACTCTATCCATTAGGGCTCTTGTCTGCCTTGTCTCCGTAAGATCAGCGGTGTCTGCGGCAGTAGGAGCTTGATAAGTGTTTGTTGAATGAATGAGTTGTTGCCATAGCGATCATTACAGCCCTGTCCCCATTAGGCAGTTGGGAAAACAGCCTCAGAGAAGGGATCCCACCAAGCCTAAGGCCCCAGCCCATGGTAGGGCATGAATCAGTGTCAGAAGCTCCTGCCCTCTGGTCCAGGGTGGGCACCAAGGGACAGAGCCACCACCCAAAGAGCATAAAGGCTGCCCTAGTCCATAACATTTGCATAATTTTCCTAAGGCTGTTACCCCAGCCAGAGGCCATCCTCCTTCATCTTCCTTCCCCTATTCTCAGAGAGGGAAAGAGGCCTAGCAAGGGGCAGGGATGGTCCTGAGGTCACACAGCAAGTCAGGGCAGAGCCCTCCTGCTTCAGCCCGGAGCCTGTAACCTGGCTGAGGCTCTGCATCTTCCTGGCTGCAAGCCCATGGACAGGTGGCTGCACCATGTGCTTGGGTTTTCCTCATCTGCAGAATGGGGTTACTAGCAGTCTCAGCTCCTTGAGCTGGTGGTTGTGAGGCATAAAGGCGTGAATGCGATGCGGGGCTCAGAACTGGGCCTGCTATGAAGGAAGCCCCATAAAAGTGAGTTGTTGTGCTGCTGTTGTTGTGATCGCCTGGCACACACTGTGACCCAGATGGATGCGCAGGCGGCACAGGCGGCTGTGAGGGCTGACGTCAGGCCCTCCACCCTCCTTCCCGCCTGGATCAAATTCAGGTGACTAAGCAAGTCTGTGCAGGAGGGGGCCCAGGAGGCCCCAGGTTCCTGCCTCGTGTCCAGGCGATGGGGCCTGTCGCCTGAGGCTGTGCATGTGAGGGCTTGTGTCCACACATGAGAGAATGTGTATGAACAGGGCTGTGGGCCTGGGGTGACGGTATGTGTCTGTGTGTATGTGG